TTGAGATAAGACATTTAATCGCATAAGGATTGCAAAGACAACCTTTATATGAGATAAGACATCCTTGAGAACTATTCAGACACCTCATAATATGATCTACAAAAGGCCAAGTAGATCTCTCTCAAGTGATATTCCTTAGGTCAAACACAAATAAACACATTGATTCGAATGGTGCCTCTCAGGCACCGCTCAAGTTATCGCATCACATGCAGTGGTGCCTGAGAGGCACCGCTCGAATGCAAAGGGTTAAAAGATATCTCTTTTTACCATTGATTTGAAGTTTTTTTTCCTTTTAACCTGCTCTACCTGTTGCTAGAGCATTTCTCAAAGTCATTTCTCCGTGCGTTCATCAGCATTGCAGGTTCATTTCAGCAATTCATCTGATACAGTGTGTTTGTACATTTTGGATTTTATTAACCATTTTGGTTTTCCCCATATCTTAACATTTATACGAGCCAATTTCCCTTAGAAAGTCCTCCACAAGGCATCCCTCCCTTTAGGCAGATAGCCCTCGTGTGCTTTGCCGTAATTAAATAATCCAATTCAATTATTCACCATTCGGGTTTTGTGCCATTAAAAGTCAACCAACCATTAAAGTTGGTGTTTGTTGTGATGGTAGTAGCAAAAAAATAATTTTCCTTGCTCTAAATATGCATTTTAATAGGTGGATTACATCTGTCCCATGCTTCTTTTTGTATAACACAAATGTATGTGCCTAATGCAAGGTTAATGGCACTAACATCAGTGATGTTAATATCATAATTGTGTAAAGATTCTGCACTGTTTGCACAGCTTAAATCAAGAATATTATCTCATTTCCTTTTTTTTTTCAAAGATTCAGTTTTTCCCAGTTTTCTGTTGTGTACAGCAGGCAGTATATGATATAGACAACTATTGACGTCTGTTGTACATTAAGGAATGTAAACTGTGGCTCTGTTGGTATGCAGACAAGTAACGAATAAACAAGCATATAATTTCTTATAAATTGTGATTGGCTGTGAAAGGTAGAAATAGAAGATAATTTTTATTTCTTGATCTGAATTGCCCAAATTTCAAAATGGATGGAGTCTTAATATTTCTCCTTTTAGCATCTGTGAAAATTCAAATTAAAAATATTAATGCAGAAACATGCCCGATTTTCAATACTTTGCTGTAAATTAGTTTCACATTTCAATGTGTCTTACCCCTTCCTTGTGTCTTTAAACTGAACCCCTTCCCTTATGATCTAATTTTCAAATGTGCGGGCTAAAAGCGACACCATAGTCGGTCGCACGCAGGGACATAAACAACTTTGCTCAGCGTTCAAACTGTACAGATTGCAAACTTCCTATTATTTGTATACACACGTGCGCGGTACAATTAACTTTGCAAGATGTTTGATAAATAATTACGGTTGGTTGATTATTAAACAAAAAAAAGATTTATTGTTGCAATTTATATAATCCATTAATAATAACATTTTTGTTTTAATACAAAACTTTAGTAATCTTTGACAGTGTGATATCTCTCAAAACATGTTGGTACATGTAATGCAATTTTACACTTTTTTGCATTCCCACATTGTCTCTCTGCGTTGTTTATGCTGTGTGCAAACTACACATCTTCGTTTTGGGTGTTGGTTCGACAGCGTTGGATCTATATGTTTGGGAAAATGACTCCACTGTTGAGCCTGCAATCTTAGTGGTAAATTTCTATTTGACAACTGTCCTTTACAGTTGTAGTTCCGTAATGGTGTATTTTCCAATAATAATTCGGCTATTTTAACCTTATATTCTGCATATCCCCGTCTTTTTTCAATATTTATCTTGTTATGCAAAATGAAAGAGTTAAATAATGCCATGTCAAACAGGTAAAAGAAAATTTTCTGATACCTCTTCATACACTTTCTTGTAAGAGGGAAGCACGCTAGCATTTGATCTTGTCGATCAACTCCTATCATTCTGAAATGTTTTGTTTATGTTTCGCCCGGTAGAGTTGCGACGACTCTGAGTCTTTTTCGTGTTTGGGCTGATAACCTTGCGACGCTTCTGAGGCGTCTTATTTATGATTGGGCCGATAACCTTGCAATGCCTCTGAAGCGTCTTATTCATGTTTGGTCCGATAACCTTGCAACGCTTCTGAGGTGTCTTATTCATGTTTGGGCCGATAACCTTGCAACACCTCTGATGCATCTTATTCATGTTTGGTCCGATAACCTTGCGACACTTCTGAAGCGTCTTATTCATGTTTGGGCCAATAGCCTTGCGACGCCTCTGAAGCGTCATTGTAAGGTAAAGGGTTAAGAAATTCATAAACACTATGATGAACTAGGAAGGTCTCTGGATGGGCTATATTTTGTGGTGCCAGATACACAGTGAAAGGATGGCAAGTAGCACCACAGTCACAGTATTTTAAATTCATCTTTTGTTGCTAAGTGTGAAGTCTATAGTTAGGGTAACTAGCCATAAATTCAGTCGAATGTATGTCTGAAAAGAAAACTGATAGAGGATTGCCATCTTTAATTTCTAGGCTTAGTTTTCAGCTATGCCTTTGTGTATACAGTTGTAACTGGCAATAAATTCAGTAGAATGTCTGTCTTAAAAGTAAAACTGATAGATGATTGCCATGTTTTTAATTTCTAGGCTGAGGTTTTCAGTTATTGCATTTTGTATACAGTTTAAATTTTAAATTAAAAAAAAATTTTTAGCAATCTATAAAGAATGCAAGGGTATGCTTTAAGAAGCACTAAGAGACCAATAACTTGGGTAGGAGGAGACATTAAACAGAATTGAAAAATAAATACTAATAAAATTTTTAAATGAGACCTTGGAGCATTGCATTCTTCCTCATAATTTAGTGGACAATTTGTTTGCAAGAATTGTAGAATATTCCTGAAACAGTTGCTTAAAAAAATTAAAATATATTAGATTCTTTAATTGTCTTTCATTTTAATTGGCACAGTACTGCTGACTAGATATGACTTCTGAGCAGTGGAATTGATCCTGGCTTCAGTTTCTTCAGTTCTCATAGTTTTTCCTGTGTGTGCATGTGAATACAAGCCAGGCTTTTGTTTGATAGTTTTGCACAAAGGCTTATCTTCAAAGTCAGGTAGGCTTTAGTTACTTTACTGAGAATAAAGGAATTTACCTATCATTTTAACCTTAACTAGTGTGCTGAAAAATATGCACATCACTAGCATAGTTTGGTCCAACTGAATGACTACTGACTACTTTTTGTGAATACTTTTCCGAAAAAAAAATGTTTATTTTTAAAAATGTTTAGCAGGTTCACTTTAAGACAAAATATGATTTTCATATTGCAGAATGCAGTGCAAAAGTTATTTTTCGTATTGTGTATATATTGTTTTATGCACTACTATTCACAGTGTATTTCTGTTTGGGGCTGTGTGAACAAAACTATGACAATGGATTGCATGTTTATATTTGCTGCTATCATTTAGTGAAAATATTGTTGTGAATAATGCCTTTTCATTTTGGAGTTCGGGTGGACTGTGCATTAAAAAAAAAAAAAAAAATTTTATTAATGCAGAATGCACAGCTGCCAACTATTAATCATGTCTTCCGGTAGATCACCGAATTTATTTTATTTCATCTGAATTGTATTAATCTACTGTAGACATTTGTCAATTATTATATGACAGTTAAATGTTTAATTTGATAGTATTTGTATTTAATTTTGTTTATTTCAGTATATGATACATTACTAAGTTCATAACACAAATGCTTGGTACATTAATTATTAATTTTATTTTCATCATATTTAAAAGTACTTTGATAAAGAAAAGCTTTCTTTCACTGTCTCTGGATAAAATATAAGAAACTTAAAAATTGAAAATAGCCAAAGAACATAAAATTTAGAATATCCAATTAAATGCTAATATATTTTATAAATGAGAGTGAAATTATAAATAGTTCAATAATCTAAACCATATATTATAAAGTGAATTAAACTCAGTGTAAAGTTCTTTAAAATGGTGTTGCCATGCAGTGTGAAAAACCTCTCGATCTTCTCGCTTAAATATCTTGCTTTTTAAGATTTCGAGATCGGCAGCTATAAGAGCGAATAACTTGAAAGTGGCATATTAAAATGTAAAATACTTATTTTTTAAGGAATAAGCTGAATTTTCTTAATGCAGTCATGCCTTTGCATCTAATAATTTGCACTAGATGTTAGCAGTGTTATTGGAAGGAAGAAAAAAGTCTGCAGTTTATCAAAAAAAAAGGGTCATAAAGTTGTGAAACTTGAAGTGAAAAATAGGCCATAAAATGATGAAACCTAGCTACTCTAACCTTCTGAGTATCTGGACCTGCCACCCCAATTGCAAATAACCTGTATACAATTCAGAGGATATAAGCAGCTAAGATTATGAAAATAGATTGTGCAGAGCCTTGTATATATTCTCAGAATGCAGGAAAATCCTCTAATTCGTATTCTGCCTAGTTCACTTACCTTGTATAATGGGTATAAGTATAATAGTAATGAGATTGTAATTGTTAGTGGGCAAGTTTTAGATTCATTCACCTTTCCTTCTCCCCCACATCCATGTTTGAATTTGAATGATATTTGAGGTACTGTGATCTTTTAAAGTAGTGCATAATAGTGTGTATTATGTGTATTGCATTTCTTCATGATATTGTCATCTTATGGGGAATAGACTAAAATACTGGAATTTCTAATATTTATATGTATGCAAGAGAGTGTTCTCTAGTGCTCAGTATACTTCATTTAGTAGTACTGTATGCAATTTAGTGCACTGTATTCTTTTATTATTTCTGTTTCTTATGTTGATAATGTCATGCCCTGTATAATTTGTTAAACTAATCTATGACTGTCATGCTTAATGTAACATTCACTTTTATGTATGGTAAATCTTAAAGGATACTCTCAGGTATATGCTATTAGTGTGTCCTTTTTTGAAGTGTGATGTATGTGAAATTCTATTCTTACTAATTCTCTTTGCTGTATTTTAAAAGTATGTATAGTATTATGTATATTGAAAGGGATGAAGAAAAAAAAGGTGAAAATGCCAGTGATGGAGAAGAAAGCCAAGGAGAAGGGGAAAAGAAATCATCTCGCTTACCTAAGAAATGTTTTGAATGGAATGACACTATTAGGTGATGCTTCCTCATGTATTTTATATTTTCCTCTTTTCAGTTTGTGATGGAAAATCTGCTGATTTTAATTTGGTATACTATTATTGACAAATTTAACCGTTTGACTGCTACGCTGCCCAAGAGCACTGCGTTCATTTGTCTCGAAAACCGCAATGTAGTTAGTTATTTTAGAATGCACTTGTGAGGTCAGACTACATAAGTTCACACCCATGAAGCAACAAAGACACACTGAAGAGCTGCATCGCGGTTTTCGAGACAAATGAATGCAGCGCTTTTGTGCTGTGTATCAGTCAAATGGTTAAATATGTGTTTAAAACAACAGCTTAAAAATGAAATAGGTATTTCCTAGTTTAGTGTAGGAATTATTGATGATTTTCCTTTGCTTTTTCTTTAAGATAATTTAAAATTTTCTTCAGCATTTATCTATTTCTTATATGTGGAAATGTGTTTATTCTTCAGTTTAGCATATGTATTTCTTTCAGCTCTCAAATTTTAACTACTGTTTATTTATATGTGTAGTTGAGTGCTAGGAATATTTGTGCCTAGTTGTTATGAAAACACACGGTTCATATGGTCCTTAAAAGTCCTTAATTTTTTCAAAAACGATTTTTGGTCCTTAAAAGTCCTTAATTTTGGCCGAAATGAATAAATGGTCCTTAATTTTGCTCATTTGACATTTCTTATCATTTCTAATGATTGCCATTCTAAGTGTGAATTGCGATTTCTCATGAATATGGAATTAAAATTACATGGCTCTTAACCAATCTGTTGGCGGATTTGCATGCAAACGATAAAAAAAAAAAAAAAAAAAAAATTAGCTACCCGAACGAAAGTATCGGTGTCTGATTGGCTATTCACCCAATCTTTCGAAACAGGTGTTATCCATAAATTTAGGCAGATTGTGACTAAAGCGTGAAGCTGAAAGTTCTTTAAGAGGCGAAAGTGATGATGAAGGTGGTCGAGGAAAAAAATAAGGGGGGGGAATTCTGAAAATATTTGCCAAAATTAGAGCAATCCCAACCTGGAAGCCCACAACCCTTCCGACGCCAATAGGAACGAGATACCTGGAAAGTGCATTTTCAATAAACTGTGGCTTCATCAAGCTGATTACAAAGACTGGATATTGATGGATGACAATCCTTAAATGTGGTCTTTGTCTGAAACAAATTGAAATTTCTAGAATGGGAGAGTCAGCACTGAAAATTCATTGAAACTAATTTTCCTGAATTAACTAGACGCAAAATTAACTTTCATGAATTACTAAAGTTATTGGATAGAAGTTTAACTAAAAATATACATTCCGTATTATATATATATAGATATATATATATACAGTACAAAGTCCGAGGTCCTGACTCGTCGGGACTTCGGCGTTTCCAGATTTGAGATTTTTCCGGATATTAGATCATTTTAAATCTACTAAGATGGCACGTAGAAATTATAAAATTGAAAATATGAAATCGTGATTTATGAAATAATGAAGCATTTTGATTTAAAGGGTATCAAAATTTACAAAAGATAAGAGCTTAGTATATGTTTACTTTATTAAACATTTCTTTCAATGTGAGTTGTTTGATTTGTTTTCTCTGCTGATACTTTAGACTAATACTATAGACATATAATTTCTTGTTCAGTTATTAAGTTCCATTGTTCAAGTCCTGTAATTGCTGTGTCGAGAATTCCGAATAACTTGTCAATCAAAATTTTTTCGCGTTCTCTGTTACTTTCTTCACTGTCGGTAGCTGTATTTTCTGGATTTAGAACCATACTACAGATTTCGCCCTCCGTTAATTGATTGATGATTGGGGCATTGTCATCGCAATGAAAAACTTCTGTTTAACTTCCCTAAATTCTGCCGCCTGGTGCGACCATGCGAGCTCTGGCGCTGGTTCTGGCTTTATGTGAATAAAAAATCACTTATTCTTAATTCAAATAGCACTAAATATAATCGTTTGTCCCTATGAGTATCATTAACAAAATCTATTCTCAGCATAAGGAAAGAAATTTCTGTTAAATCTCCCCTTGTCAACATTTTAGCGCATTAAACTTAAATCTGTAATCAGATAATACTCTGTTGTTTGGCGTCGCTACATGAGTCATCACTCAAGTTGTCGTGCGGTGCTGAAAGCAAAATACAATAAGTAATGATTCGCGATTTCGGCATCAAGGATATGAAATATTAGTTGATGTAAAATTAACAAATGTTTCGGTTTGAGATTATGCCAAGCAGATACGCTGCTATGGAGTCAAGTTACTAATCACACAAATTTATGCTAAAATAATTATTTCTTCAATAATGAGATATTTTATTTAGCGCCAATGCACGTGCGTAAAGCATACCCCTTCCCTTCAAAAAAAGCCCTAAAAAATTGGTTGGTGGTGGCTTTGAGGTCCGGATTTTAGATCATTCCAGATATTAGATGTCCGGATCTCGGACTTTGTACTGTTATGTATGTATATATATATATACATACATAACAGTACATATATATATATATATAATATACAAGTATATATATATATATATATACATAAATATATATATATATATATATATATATATATATAGTATATATATATACAGTCAAGTTAAAAGTCTTTAATCCGGACTCGTCGGGACTTCGGCGATTCCGGATTGTCGATTTTTCCGGATTATAGATCATCAGTTTAAATCTGGTAAGATGGCATGTAGAAATTATAAAATTAAAAGTATGAAACCGTAATTTATAAAATAATGAGCAATTGTGATCTAAAGGGTATCAAAATTTACAAGAAAAAAAAAGCTTAATATTTATTTGTTTACTTTATTAAACATTTCTTTCAACGCGCGCATGCGTAAAGCATACCTTACGCATAGCCGAAATTAGAAAATTGCAACCAGAAAACTATTTGTTTTGTATTTGTGATATTTATAATGACGAGGAATTTGATTTAAATCATATCAAAGACTGAGTACATCGAGATTAAATACTACATTTAGTAAGGAATTATAAGCCAAATAAAATAAAAACATCTGCCCTGAAGATAACGATATTGCTGACAGATCAACTTCCAGTTCATTGCGCGCCGCGGCGTCCCTCCCCCGCGCAGAGCAGCGTGAAATTGATAAACAGATTTCCGAACGGTTAGATAAACAAAGGATATGGCTTTATCCATTTTTTGTAGCAATTCGTTTTTTGTTTGATGGACATCGAAACATACTTTCGTTTTCTAGATCCTTTGGGAGCTCCAGCATCGGAAATTCTATTTGACATAATCGAAAGTTCAAGCTTACTTTTATAAAATTGCTCTTACAGTCTGCAAAAAATAATAAGCCGGATCCAATTCGAAGATTAAGGAACAATGCAATCAGCAACATTAACTGAAATAGATAATTAGAGCTTATACCGTCCGTTATACATTAAACGCACACGCGAAAACGTATTCTGTGCTTGCGCAAACGCATATGCGCAGTCGAAAATGTCATGCGCGCACATGTAAAATGCCTATGCGCATGCGCAGAAAGATTTTAGCTTTGAGGTCCGGATTATAGATCATTCCGGATTATGGCTGTCCGAATTAACGACTTTTGACTGTATGTATATATATATATATATATATATATATATATATTATATATAAAATGTATACTTTCACTATTCAAGTATTCACTGTGACAAGTATTCTTATCTTGTCACATGAACAGGCCTCTGTGGAAAGGGTCTTCTCTGTAAATAAAGCAATTGAAATTGAAAATTTAAGTGACTCATCATACATTTTTCAACGCACAGTATTTGATTACATAAAATTTTCTGGAGGTTTTCTTAATATCGAAATTAATAAAGAAATGAGATCAGCAGCAGCTTCTGCAAGGTCTAAATATATGCAGTATTTAGAAGAACAAAAATCTTGTGAAAATTCAAAGAGGAAAAGAAATATTATTGAGGAAGAAATTGATTATATGAAGCAGAAGAAAAGATTTCTTTAAAGGGACATTAAAGATATTAATGAAGAAGTAGATGCTTTAGCAGATGAAGCTGAGACCAGCAGGAACATTGATTTGTTTATCAAAGCAAATGAACTTAGAAGAATAGTTAAAGAAAAGGAAATAGACATAAATAAATTAGATGTTAAATAGCCAAAAAAGATTTCAGATTTAAAAAAGCACAAATGTTTTGTATCTTTTATTGTACAGTTTATTATTCTAGTATCTTTCAAAAACCAAGAAAATAAATTGTATGTTTACAATCAGTTTTTTAATCTGCAAATATTCTTACATTGTGATTATAATAGTAGTTGACTGTGTTTAAATAAATATCAAATAAGTTAAATAATAATTATGTAAATCTCTAAAATAGTGACTGTTATTAGTGTAAAATACACTTATACATGTTTTTCAAGAAATTATGTTCCTAATTTAATGTTATCTGCTTCATAACTTGTAGGGAGTTAGTTAATTTTCAAAATTGCTTTGTGGTAAGTACTAAAGTGAATTTAATAATAGTGTATAATACACACTTCTTTTAGTTTCTTAAAGTGAAATTACAAGCATGAAGTCGGTTGTATGGATAATTGCTTTATTCTATTTATTTTTTTCTTTGCTGATATGTCCTTAATTTTTTCTTTGATGGTCCTTAAAAGTCCTTAATTTTCATGTAAGGAAATGTGTACGAACCCTTAAACATTGTTTACTAGTGTGATATCAGTAGCAGTAACACATAATTTAGCTGTTAATGGGGACAACTATTAATGTTCGCATGTGAATTTACAAAAAGTGATTTTCTAAAGAATTTTTTCCATTATGTGCTATCTTATTATGTTTGAACAATTTTAAGTGTAAAATTTTCTTAAATTGACTAACATTATTTAAAAAGAAAGGTAACCTATGCATACCCAAGGAGAGGTGGTTGCAACTGGTACATCTGTGTGGGGTGTATGGTTCTCAAGGGGACCCATGAATTCAATACATCTCAAAATGTTTAGTATGATTTGAATATTTATCTATTTAATTCACTTCATTT